CAAATGGTTTGGGTGAGAATATAAAAGGCATGGTAAGTAAGTGTGGAGGACACCAAAATTGCTCGGATAATAGACAGTGAAGAAAGTTTTCTACGATTACAACTGGATCTTGATGAAATAGGTCAATGGGCTGAAGAATGGCACATGGAGTTCAATCTGGATAAATGCAAGGTATTGCATTTTGGTTCAAGAAACAAGGGTAGGGTTAATCCAATTAATGGTAGGGCCTTGGGTAGTGTTAAAGAATAGAGGGACCTACGGGTGCAGGTATATAATTCTTTCAAGTTTGTGTCACATATACACAGGGTGGTTAAAAAGGCATTTGACACACTTGCCTTCATTGCTCAGTCCTTTGAATATAGGGGTTGGGACGTTATGTTGAGGTTATACAGGACATTGGTGAGGCCTCTTCTGAATACTGTGTCCAATTCTGATTGCCCAGTTATAGGAAGGATACGATCAAGCTCGAGAGGGTTCAGAAGAGATTTACCAGGATGTTGCCAGGTATGGAATTTTTGAGTTTTAAAGAAGGGCTGGATAGGCTGGGACTTTTTTTCAATGTAAGAAAGTTGAGGGGTGACTTTATCAAAGCTTATAAAATCATAAGGTGTATAGATAAAGTGAACAGCAAAGTTCTTTTCCCTTGGATAGGGGAGTCCAAAACTAGAAGGAATATTTTTTTTAAAGTGAGAGGAGAAAGATTTAAAAGGAAAGCAAGGGGCAACCTTTTCAAATAGAGGGCAGTGTATATGTGGAATGAACTGCCAGAGGAAGTGGTAGGTACAAGTACACTTAAAAAGTTTAAAAGACAATTGGAAAGGCACCCGAATAGGAAAAGTATTGGACCAATACTGACGTTTCAGGCCTTCCTGTTCCTCTGATGCTGCTTGGCCTGCTGTGTTCATCCAGCTCTACACCTTGGTATCTCAGATTATCCAGCATCTGCAGTTCCTACTATCTCAGAAGCAAGTGGGATTACTTCAGTTTGGAAAACCTGGTCAGCATGGACGAGTTAGACTGAAGGAAGCTACAGAACTTGGGGAAATAAATCTTGATGTTTTGAAAATAGTTCACATTACAGGAGAGGAAGTGCTCAAAATCTTAGAGAATATAAAGGTGGATAAATCTCCAGTGCCTGATCTAGTGTACCACAGGACATTGTGGGAAGTTAAGGAGGAAATTGCGGGGCTCCTTGCAAAAATATCTCTGTCATCTATAAATATGCATGAGGTATAACGGATAACTGGAGAGTGACTAATGTTATCCCTTTGTTTTCGGAGGAATGTAGGGAGGTGCCTGGGGACTATAGACCTGAGAGTGTGACTTTGTTGGTGGGTAAGTCTTTGGAGGTGATTCGGAAAGATAGCATTTGGACAGACAACGAATGATTCGGGATAGTGAGCAAGGTTTTGTGCAAGGGAAATCGTGTATCACAAATTTGATTGAGTTTATTGATGAAGTAGACTAGAAGACTGAAGAGGCCAGACAGTAAACAGTTGACCTTATAGAGGTTTATAAAATGCTGAGGGGCATAGATAAGGTGAATGGCAGGTGCCTTTTCCCTAGGGTGGGCGATTTCAAGAATAGGGGGCTTTTTTTTTTTAAGATGAGAGAAGAAAGATTTAAAAAAAGACATGAGGGTCAATTGTTTTTTAAGCACAGAGTGGTTCATGTGTGGAATGAACTTTCAGAGGAAGTGGTGAATGTGGGTACAGTTACAACATTTAAAAGATATTTGGATAAGTACGTGAACAAGAAATGTTTGGAGAGATATGAACCAAATGTAGGCAGGTGAAAATACCTTAGTTTTGGATCATGGTCCGCGTGGACTGATTGGACCGAGGGGTCTGTTTCAGTGCAATCTGACTCTATGTGACTGAACCTTACAGAACACAGAGGCCTGGATATATGGACATGGAGAAGATGTTACAACTAGTGTGAGAGACTAGAACCCAAGGGCACAGCCTCTCAGTGAAGGGATGAACCTTTAGAACTGAGATTAAGAGGAATTTTTTCAGCCAAACAGTGATGATTCTGTGGAACTCATTGTCGTAGAGGGCTGTTGGGGGCAAGTCATTGAACCTATTTATGGCTGAGATCGATAGGTTCTCAATTGGAGAGAGGATCAATGGTTATGCAAGAAAGCAGAAGGCAGGAGAATGGGGTTGAGAAACATAACAGTCATGATCAAATAGTGGGGCACACTTGATGGGGCGAAGAGCCTAATTCTGCTCATACATCTTGTGGTCTTATGGTTATTGTGGGTGACTTCAGTCTGCACATAGATTCAGCAAATCAAATCAGTAACAAGACCATAGAAGAGAAACTCTTGGAGTATGTATGAAATGGTTTCCTGGATCGATACATTAAGGACAAGAATGGAGGACAGGCCATCCTGAACTTCATATTCTGTAATAGCCGAGGGTGGGTTAGCTCAGTTGGACGGACATTTGGTTTGTGATGCAGAGTGACACCAATAGCACGTTCTCAATTCCTGTACCAGCTGAGGTCACCAAGAAGGTCCCACATTATTAAACCTGCCCCTTTCCAGAGGCATGGTGACCCTCATGGTTAAAGCACCATTTGTCGTCTCTCTCCCTCTGAAGTGGGAGACGAGTCCTATAGCCTTCTGGGACTATGGCAAATTTAATTTCAACATTTTACTTGGGTACTGGGAAGGAAATAATTGGTATCCCAGCTGTGAGCGGCCCAAATGGCAGAATGAAGAACTCCGTGATAGAACTCTTCATTAAAATGGAGAGTAACATATTTGATTCTGAGACTGGGGGCCAAATCTAAATAGAGGAAATTACAATGGTATGAGGTGCACGCAGATTACAATAACTTGGGGAACATAAACTTAAAGGGATGACAAATATTTAAGAGCACTTGGAGGAACTGCAACAGTCGTTCATTCCTGTCTGGCACAAAATAAAATGGGAAAGATGACACTGCCATGGCTAACAGGGATATTAGTGACAATGCTGGTTCCATGGAAGGGGCATACAAATTGGCTAAAAAGAGCAGCAGACCTGAAGTCTGTGAGCAGTTCAGATTTCAGCAAAAGAGGACTAACGGATTGATTAAAAGGGGAAAAACAGAGTATGAAGATAAGCTTGTGGGGAACATACAAACTAATTGTAAAAGCTCCTAAAGATATAACGAAGAGAAAAAAATAATGAAAACAAATCTCTTACAATCAGAAACAGGCTAAGTTATAATGTGGAATAAAGAGAGGCAGACCAATTAACTACATATTTTGGTTCTGTTATCAGAACAGATGGCACAAATAATATCCCTAAAATGCTGGGCAACACTTGACAGGAAGCATCTGAAGGAAATCAGTATTAGCAGAGAAATGGTGTTGGGTAAATTGATGGGATTAAAAACTAACACATCCCAGCACCTGGTAATGTAAACCCCAGAGTACTTAACCAAGTGGCCCACGAGATAGTGGACACATTCTGAAACCAGGGCTTGACTCTAAATAGAGGAAATTGATAATTATTATTCAAGACTCTATAAACTCTGGAACAATTCCTATGGATCGGAGGGTAGCTAAAGAAACCCCACTATTTGAAAAAAGGAGGTGGAGAGAAAACATAGAATTACAGACCGGTTAGCCTAAACCTGGAAAACAGTGACAGGATTGGACAGTCAGTCAGCATGGATTTACAAAAGGGAAATCATGCTGGACAAATCTGCCGGAATGTTTCAAGATTGCAATGCTTAGAGTTGATGAGGACGCAGTGGATGTGGTTTACTTGGGCTTTGAGAAGGCATTCAAAATGTCCCACAGAAAAGATTAGCATGAAAAATTAAAACACATGGGATTAGGAAAGTGTATTGACACAGATACAGAACTGGCTCACAGACAGGAAACAAAGTTCAGGAATAAACATGTCATTTTTTTGAGTGGCAGCCAGTGACCAGTGTGGTACTGCAGGCATCAGTGCTTGGACCTCAGCTATTCACAATATCTGTTAATGAATAAGTTGAGGAAATTTAAATGTCATATCTCCAAACTTGTAGATAGATGATATGAAGCTGGGTGAGTGAACTGTCAGGAGGATGCAGATGTGCTTCAGTATGATTTGGAGTTGCGTGAGTGGGCAAAAATTCAAAGCGGATGAAGGATAATGTGGATAAATTGGAGGCTAACCCATTTGATTGCAAAAACAGAACACAATTATCTGAATGGCAATAGGTTGGGAAAGGAGGAAGATGCAATGACACCTGTTTGTCCTTGTACACAAGTCGTTGAAAGTAAGCATGCAGGTGCAGCAGAAGGTGAAGAAGGCAAATGTTATGTTGATCGTCATAGCGAGGGAAGTTGAGTACAGGAGCAGGGATGTCTTGCTGCAATTGTAGAGTCTTGGTGAGACCACACCTGCAATATCGTGTACAGTTTTGGAATCCCTATCTGACAAAGATGTTCAGGCTATGGAGGCTGTACAACAAAGGTTTACCAGGCTGATTCCTGGAATGGCAGGATTGACGTATATGAACAGCATGGATTGGTTAAAACGAAATTCACTGGAGTTCAGAAGAATGAGGAAAGATCTCGCAGAAACCAATAACACTGTAACAGGTTTAATGAGGTAAATGCAGGAAGAGTGTTCTCAATGACCAGGCTGTCCAGAACCAGGGGATAAAAGTTTAAGGGGATGGGGTAGGCCATTTAGGACTGAGATGGGGGAAATTTTCTTTACTTAGAAGCTTGTGAGCCTGTGGAATTTGCTGCCACTGAAAGCAGTTAAGGCCAAAACATGGAATGTTTCCAAGAAAAAGACAGATATTGTTCTGAGGGATCAAAGGGCATGGGTCTAAAGTGGGAACAGGCGACTAAGTAGAATGATCAGCCATGATCATACTGAATAGCACGGTGGGCTCGAACATCACGATGGTCTACTCCTGATCCTACTCTCTATGTTTCAATTCTGTTGAAGATGGGATAATAAAAAAGAAATGATTGTAACTCCCACAGACATCAGCACTACCTTATCACCACTGGATGAAAATCCTGTAACTCCTTGTGGAACAGCAATCTAGGAGTAGCTTCACCACAGGGACTGCAGCAGTTCAAGAAGGTCAAGGAGATGCAGTGACTTTGGACGGTTCCGGACTGATTGCTCTGTCTCTCATTTTCTATCCGGTTCTCAAATTGTTGAACATTCTGAGAAAAGCAACATAGGAAATAAGAAAATATTTATGGAAGTTTGCTGAAACTGTGTACATTCATTGCTGACTTGGAAATTAGACAAAGTTTTACATGCCTCTGAACAACTCATTATCTCACGATTGCACAAAGGCTTGGCATCCATTATTTGAAACTGTTTAATTCAACTGACAATTTACATTAATTTTGTTTTCTGTTTAAAGTATCCCTTATCTGTGTCTGTCATCAGTGAGAGTGTAGGTTATGAACAAAAAAGATTGTGTTTATATCAGAGATATTGATTACATTGCTTAGTTGTTTAAGTTTGTTTTGCTCAAGTTATTGTGATTTCTTTTCTATAAACTTGGTGTCCAAGATCTGTTATTCATAAAGTCTGGTTAGGAACATTTGGGCAATTTAAATGGCCACTCAATGTTTAATTTAGAAGTAGAAATGGAATTAGAATTCAGTTTCATTGTCACATATACACAAGTACAAGCAGACAGGAGTGCAGTGAAACATTTACAATTCTCCATTTTGTGGTATAAAATTACAGGTACATAATGCCACTGTGTTGTGAATCCAGTGATAGTGGCACTAATCTGTTCTTGGTTGCTATCCTTGTGCTGTAACAATTACTTGATGGTCAATGATAGCACAGAAGCAGAAATGATCTTCAGTGCAGGACAAACAATTCCTGACCATGGGAAGATATAGTTGGGAAATCAGTAACATATAACCAATGATGGCCAACAACGGAATCTACATTCAGACACAAGCAGCAGAAATAATAACAAAATACCAAACAAGGTTCAAATAAACCCATAATGACAGGAGGGAGGGGAAGAGTTGGGGGGAACTGGTGGGGAGCAGGGGAAGGAGTCAGCTGGAAAGTGGGAGAAGGAGGAACAGTGAGACATAGAATGGG